AATGTCGATTTATCTCAATAAAATGTATACGCTAATTTACCGATTTACAGATAATGTAATGTAACAAGTATTTTTGAGCCAAATAATCCTGATAATCACGGTTTGTCCACTGCGGAAATGTGCTTTAATGCCCAGCGCACTTCCTGGGGGCTTGGATGACACGTGTAAAAGGACCAAACGCTGGATTTGAACCAGCTTTGACGCAAAGGGGATTGACCCCCGGTTCATGGGCCACCAGCTCCTCCAAGTGAGATATGTGGTGACCCAGGGAGAGTCCTTTTGAAGCGTATCAATGGGCCCCTGCACTGTATGGGGGTGTACAACGATAACACTCTGGCATAGCAATGGCAGTTGATTAGCTGCAGCAGTAGTTCAAGCCACACTTTTGAAGATGTATCATTTGTAACGTTATGATGCAATGCAGCAGCTGGATTTAGTTTTTATAGGACCTGCTCCCTCTCAGAAGTGATTCTTTATTTTAAAAGCCTTAGTGATGATCTCAATATTGTTTCTTTGGCTTCTCTCTGCCCATACAGACCAGTCAGGCTTATCGCCAGAGGGTCCCAGTGGACTGCAGCTCTGTGTCTCAGGATCAATCAATTATAATGTGTATCTATGTGCACGCATTTTGATGTTTTTGTGTGTGTCAGAGAGTGTGTGCGCTTGTCTGAGTGAGACAGGCCGAGAGATAGAGAGTTATATAAAAGGCACAGGAGGCAGAGAAGAGCTATTTAATGGCGACTTGGCCTTTTATCCAACATCATCCTCACTGGATTGGCGGCTTATAAGCCTGGATGGACATGTGTGTGTCAGATGTGTGTCTGTGTGTTGTGCACATGATTGACAGATGGTCCGATCGCAATTAAAGGAAATTGATAAGGTTTAAGGGCCCCAGTGTTCTGCTGACAGAAGTGGAATGCAATAAGTCTCTTCCATTGTACACATAGAGACACAAAGACTGACACATAGTCCAAGAGCCTCCCCCCCCCACATCCTTTCTTTATCATTGGCTGTTTTTCTCCATCTATGCTGGGTGTCTGAGCACATTTTCTGGGAGTCACTTCCACAGTCTTTTTTTCCTTCTGCTGGCTAAGACCCTTTTACCTCAATTACTGCGAAATGAGAGGCTGAGACAGAAAAAGAGAGAGTGGAATTAGACTGTGAGAAAGCAGAAAACGTAATGTAGAACAGATGAAGAGGAGAGAGTGGGAGAAAAACAGCACACTGGAGACACAGAGAGAGAGAGACAGAGTGAGAGAATTCCCACTTTGCGTGTCTGGTTTCATAACTGTTTCCATTTATGGAGATGTGTCACTGTTTTGTGTGTGTGTGTGTGTGTGCATTCGACTGTGTGTTAATATGTGCAAATGCATCTTTTAGTAATCGCATAAATGGATGCAAATTGTGCTTCTTTGCATATGCCCAGAACATGTGCACGAATATGAGCTCCAATACACGCGGATGGAACATTTCCAAGTATTCACTACCTGAGTTTAGGATAATCTGAGCTCATACTAATCACTGATAAGCACCCGCTGATCCATGAATGAATTAGTCATGAAAATATTTGAGAATTAGTGCTAGTTTTTGAGCTGAGTGCTATGTTAGTCATAAGGTTAATATATCATTTGCTATCCAGACTGTGAGGTGGCATGCGATTGATGTTCCTGCTGATTTATATGAGTCATATTGAAACTGCCTGGTGACTAAAAAGCAGTGATAGAAGAAGTACTTAGACATTTACCAATACTCATACTGCCTGTGCTGCAGCACCTCTTTTCACCCTCTGTCTGAAACCAGAGCCCAGTCTGCTCTGATTGGTTAGCCTGCTAGCTCTGTTGTCATTGGTCAACCGCTTAGCGAGTCCCGCCCCATAGACTACCACTGTTTTGGAGTGCTAGCCAATATAAGTGTTACATAGTGATGTAATTATGTTACATAAGTAAACAAAGGAGTCCAAGGGAGGCTTTTCAGGCAGGGGGGAGAAACTCAGATTGTCCTTTGAGATCATCATGTTTATAAAAGTAGTGAGTGACAAGGATTAGCAAAGACACCCCTGCATATTTGCTGTTGTTACACCATTATTCAAACACTTTTTGACTCATCTCAGAGTGACAAAACACCGTTTTTACTAATTGATCTGCAATGTGACAAGAGGCTGACGTAAAGCCAAACCATTTGTTGGCTAATTTGGCTTCTAGGCATACAACAATAACATTAGCCAAAGGGGATTGAGACTGAGAGCTCAATTACATTAGGGGTGACAACATTCAGTTCTAACAAAAGGCAAGGTCTACTGCAATGAGGAGACACACTTGAAATGAGGATGCAATTTGCCTGACATTCTTGGTTCTACATCATTTGCATCATCTTTCTGGAGCTGTGATGAAACATTTAGTATACGCCTGTGTTGTCCTCATGCTCAGGGGCTGAGCCGGAGCACTTGCAACATCCTAGATGCACATTTGGCTACAATCACAGTCACAAGTCTCTCATCTCTTTCATGATTGTATGCACAGTTTGGTCATAACTAAGTAGGACTGCCCAAACTGTTAGGGTTCATTAGGATTCAGTATGATCAATGTAGTCTTACTAGGTCCTTACGTGTATCTGCATGCCATCAGCAAAGCTTTGATTCCCAGGAAATATTGTACTGCAGTGTCGCTGTGAGTCCCCTGCTAGGGATGATTCAGCAAAACAGGATCAAATGAGGCTGAGGACTTTCTGTATCAGGCCGCACTCTGCAACCATATCCCATCCACACATCCACTCCAGCAATGCAGGTCTGAGATTCACAAAATGTGCGTCACCCCTTTTTGCTGAATGCATTTCAGCATGACAAATGCTATATCAAAATGAGTGTAATAGGGCTAAATGAATTGGAAGGAAAACAACTTGTGACATTTTGGACTTTTGTGTGAATTGGGATATGATTCGTGATAGAGAGTGGTGCCGTGATGATGTATTTTTGGACTAAAAGCAACGAAAGTTTTTGATACTTATCACATTTTGTTCAGCAAGATAACCGCCACATATTTACATCACTTTTATGATCCTTGAAGCGTAAATACAATCGGCAGAAGTAAAAATCTAAGTTGAGGCTATAAACCAATTACATAGCTAAAGGCAGCTAAAGACAGCTAATGGCGTTTACTAGTGTCATTAAGTCACTTGTTAACAACCACTGTTGTTTATTGTCATATCATACTCTATACACAACTATGGTGTAGTATGTAATGAATGAAAAACGTCAGGTTCGTATTTGATGTCATAGTGCAACATGTATACAGTACATTTGTTTGTATGCTTGGACTTCTCTGCAGCACCACAATACTTACCCTGTGTTTCTCATATCAAATATTGCTCTTACTGCAATTGATATATTGTACTAGTCTAGCCAATATTTCTATTTGTTATGTGATGTGATTGTGCAGGCCAATATACACTTGATGTTCCATATTGTTGGATTATTGCAGAATGACTGTGATGTTTTCTTTCTCTAAGGGAAGCATTGCATCCTGACTCTGACATTGTACCATCAAATCACATAGAAGTCAGTTAGGACAAATGAGACATGTATCGCAAGACCTCACATTTCTTCTATTCCCAAAGATTGTTTGTCATTTATTGATTTAGAAAATAATGTTTGAATGATTATATTTGAATCACAGCGGCGGTATATAGCATGATCTCATGTAAATCGACAAATGTACGTCAAATCAAATAAGAAACTTTCCAATTGCTATTTCAAATGTTGGCAAAAATATTCTCATTGTTTTCATATTATCAGCAGATCAAGTTTCTCAGAACGGCAGGACTGTTTATCCAGATACAAAGTTATTCCTGACCTTGAAGATCTTGATTCAAATGATGACGAATACTTATCAAGCTATGAATATTCTTTCAGTTGATTCATAAGCTAATCATTCCAGCACTAATCTCATTCTTCACACAATTCATCAGATAGTACTTAAAAAAAAGGATTAATACCATTTTTGTAGAACTCCAGAAAAAGAATGTTCATTAAATAATAATATATCAGCCTGCCTTAATTCAAACATGTCCCGCTCTCTGCAGAACCCTAATTAAGAGCTGCTCATTAGCATTTGCCCTTGAGCCTTGGTGAGGACAGACCTGCTGTACAGAGTAACAGTAGACTATGAGAATACATTTTTAAATCTCAAAGTTACTATTATGCATTTTCACAAAGCACAGTCAGAGCAGGGATGGAAACAGATAGTTAGTTATTCAGCTGGGAAATCTCCACATAGACAGCGCGAGCAGATGAGCTGGCGGGATCATTTTGACAGGATTCAGTGGAGCTGTATTAAACTAATCTCTCTCTCTCTCTCTCTCTGCCTGCCTGCATGTCGGTCTGTATTTCTCTTCATTCGGCTTTTTCTACCTTTCCCTGCCCTCCTTTCAGAGCTGTTTCTGGATCATGTGGTGCAGAGGACAAAGTGTGCCAGACACATGCATTTCTCTCTCTCTCTGTCTCTAACATACACAAATACACAGCAGCTGTTCTTATATGGAAGGTGACCCCTGTGTTATTCAGCCAACAAAAACTATGAAATGACAGTAGGCTGATAACCCACCTGTTTGGACGGCACCTTGGCCATTTAAGAAAATCACAACACATTTTGTAATACTTAAAGGGGCCCTATTATGCTCATTTTCAGGTTCATATACCACTTTGGAGTTGTAGCCTTTGCAGACCATTTACATGCACACAAACCTATATAACAGGCACGAGGAAACCCCAAATAGCATAATAGGGCCCGCTTTCAATGATGTGGATCAATTGAGGTTTCGTGTTGTGAGGCTTTATGGTTTATTGCACTTATTGTAGTTCGCTTTGGAGAAAAGTTGCATGAAATTCAATGTATTTCAGTTGCTTCTCTACCTCCTAACTGCACTGTCCTCATTCCCTTTCCTCTCTCTGTTTCTTTTCCCTGCAGAGGGTCCTCCCTGGTTGCTGATTTAAAGCTCTGGTCCTCATCTCTAGCTGGGGTGGACAGCCGCCCCCCGCCCCAAAGTGAAGAGCAACATGACCCAGGAGGGGCAGGCTCTGCCCTCTCCCACCCCACCAGAGAGCCCAGTGGAGCCCGATACAGCCACCAGCGACCCCCCCCACAGAGACCCAGGACACGCTGAGGGTAGCAGAGAAGGACGAGATAGAGGAGGGGAGAGGAGAAGAGATCAGAGAGGGAGAGGGGGAGACACATGGGGATGTACAAGGGAGGGAAGAAGTAAAGGGTGAAGTAGCAGAGGGTAAGTTAAAAGAGGAGAGGGTAGATCAACAAACAGATGGAGGGGGGGAGGAAGAGAGGGAAGGGACGAGAGCAGAAGGGTATGTAAATGTGGAGGTGAGCTCAACGAGGGAGGAGGCCACACATGAGGAGGAGGAGATGAAAGAAGACGAGGAGGGGAAGGAAAAGGAAGAGATGCAACCGTCTACAGAGGAGGAGGAGACCCCCCCTCAACAAGCTGGGGGGTGAGTTCACTTCATCATCATTTATGGAAACCTTGTGACTACATCTGTGACCTCTAGGGGTCAAAGTGTGATCTTTTATTTCTGTTCACATGAGAATCTGTACAAAGAGAAAATCACATGAACTGCTAATTTATTAGCTAAGAAACAAAACAAAAATGCAGCTTTAAGCTTTAATACCCTAACCCACTTTTGTTTGTGGTTGGACAGAGTCTGTTTATGTGTGATTTAGCATAATAGAGTGCAACTGTTATGCTTTTAATGGCAAATCGTTTTTTGTCAGTGATTAACTCTGTTATATCGTAAACGAGCATTTTACAGAATGAACTGGCACAAAGCCTCAATGAAATGAGCGGAGAGCAAACCAACAGAGAGCTGGAGGACACCGTAAAGCAACGTTTATGCACACAGAGAACTCTGCTCCTAAATAAATGGAACGAAACAGCAGAGGTTTGACAGACCAGCTTTTCACAAAGAAGCATATTGGACAGTGCTTTTGAATCTTTCATCTAGCTTCAATTGTCAGTGAGGCCTTTCATGCTGAAACACTTTCCCATTGTGCGAACATCTCCTGAATGAAGAACGATTTCAGCCATGAATATGAATATGAATAAAACCACTCAACAAAGAAATGCTTGAGTCATATGCTAAAGGTAATTTCCTTTCTTTCTTTTCTCAACAGACTCGCAAATGGCATAGGTGGTAATGAAGAAGACGATGAAGCGGGAGAGGAAGAGGAGGAGGGAGGAGAGGAAGGGGGGACTCACTTGGACACTTTTAGCGCTAACTTTGAGACGACTGTAGAACAGGCCGACACAGAGGTGGAGGAAGAGGAGGAGGAGGAGGAGGAGGAGGTCCAGAGAGAGGGAAACCAGGACAGTTTCAGCTCAGTGTTTGAGCACATCGTCGAGCAGGTGGACGCTCAGGATGAAGAGGAAGATGAGGAGTTAGAGGAGGAGGGGGAGAAGGGGAGGGTTGACAACAAAGACGGCTTCAGCTCCACCTTCGAGCGCATCGTGGAGTCGGCCCTGCTGAGGGGCGGGACTTGCTACAGCAGCCTGGACTCTCTGGACGTGCTGTCGCTCACGGACGAGACGGACAGCTGCGTCAGCTTCGAGGCGCCACTGACGCCGCTCATCCAACAGAGGTCGCTGTTACAGGGGCCCGAACCCCTGGAGCTGGAGCTGGAGACCGTCCAGGAGCAGGAGGGGGCCGAGGCCGGGCTGGACTCCCCGGGCGAGGGGGAGAACGCCTTCCCTGGAGCTGGAGTGGGAGGGAGCCCCCTGAGGACCACCATACCTGGGAGCAGGTCAGAGTTTGTGCTGAGTCAGTCCGGACGCTGGACCATCCCTAATGGATACCACTCTGACTACCAGAGAGGATGTGGAGCCATGATCAACTCTGTCAGGTAAGGAGGCAGGATTAAGGTTATTTTAGTTCTTATGTTAAGTTATTTATGTGTATAATATATATTTTAAAGCACCCTTAAAGGGAGAGTTCAATTAAAAATCAAAAATGCATATACTTGTGAGTGTTTGAGATATCAGCCGTGGAGATGTCCGCCTTCTCTCCGATATACTGGAGCTAGATGGCACTCAGCTTGTGGTGCTCAAAGGGACAAAAAGATACATTTAAAACATTGAACACCAATGTCTCTTTCCAGAAATCACAACCTGGTCTCTCAAGAGTATCCACTAATCCATGTACTGTTTTCTTTCTATGGTATTTCTCGTGCTATCGAACTTCAAACTCAACAAATAGTGGCTTTAAATATAATTCAAACAACATGCAAAATGCCATTTCCCCTATTAGAGCTTGTTGCAACTGAAATGTTTGCGTGCATTTTTAGACATATATCATGATTACAGATTTTTTAAGGATGGCGGGTGTGATCTTTTCATTTCTAATGCGTTGCCCAGACCCTAAAGTTTAGGATTAGCTTCAACTGGCATAACAGTTAAATAACACACTTTCTGTTAATCATAAATGAGAATTGAACTGCATATTTCAAAATGGCATGGTAACCTTTCCACCATAATCAAAGTGTTAATGTAGAAGAAACTTGGCTTATACACAGCCTTGGATAAAGAGTGCTTTTTGAAATATGAAATTGTTGTTGAACAGTAGAAAAATAGAACATTTGCGTCAAATCAGCCAGGTGTTATGTGTCTAAAAACTAAGACACATTCACATTCAAAACATTCTTCTGCTACTCAGTAATATGTATCTAATACCTAATATATATATATCATTCCAATAACTTGTATATAGACTTGTACTGCACTATTCCACATCATCACTTTATTTTATAACTATTTTTCTTTTTGTATTGCTCTTGCTCTTATTGTTATTATGTTATTATGTTGCATTGTTGGAGAAGCCTGTGACATAAGATTTTCAACTACATAATTACTCTGTAGCTATGTCAGATTGACAATAAAGAACCTTGAACCTTGAACATGTGGCACTGGACATTTAGAACACCAAAGATGACATCTTTCTGTAAGTCCCCTTCAGGTAGACCCATAGGATGTTACATTCTTCAGCAGGGAACACAATGCTAGCAGAAAGATACACAAAGGTTTCCCTGTATTAACAAATGATCAAATCCTAGCTAGGTAAGGTATATCTGGTATGGGGGGTAAGAAAATCATGACCCAAATTAAGACTGAAAGAGGGGACGCAGGTATAGAAGTATAAAACAAAAAGCGAGCTTTATTAAATGAAAGCTGGTACGAAAACACAACTAAACACTGAAGGAGCTGGCAAGGTTAAACAAAAACAAATCCAGAAAGAGCGGGAAACCAGGAACTGCGACACACTGAACCACATCAGGGAAACATTGACAAGGAACTCACAGAGAACACAATGGAAGACAGGCACATATACACACAGGACTAATCTCATAGACAAGACACAGCTGGGGAGGGCATGCAAAACTCAAGGGGAAGCAGGTGAAATTAATTGGAAAATCACACAGGCGGGAAAACACAGACAGGAAGTAAAACAAGACAAGACACAAGGACAAAATACATTTAGAAATTAAACAGGGAACAAAAACTAAAATCATGACAATATCATCAGCTACGATACACAAAAACAAGTAAGTTATTTTACGTTTTGCATGCATACATTTCCTGCTGCAACCAGGCAGTGAAGGCATTCATAGACGCTGTTGTGTTGACTTGAATATTGGTGCAATATGCTGTGACCTTGGCTGAACCAGCAGGTGGCGTGAGCATGGTGGGACCCAGCTGTGGGCCCTTCAGAGAGGGGGAGGTTGGTTGGGGGTGAATGGGGTGGTCCGCTGGTTCAAAAGGAAGTCGTTTGTCTATGCGTGTAAACTCAGTTGGCAGGCAAATACATACCAGTCTACCCAACCAAACAACATCAAATGCTAGGCTCATGTTACTCAGTTGAAGAATCCTCAATATATTTGGAAAAAGAGACAAGGGAAGCTGTTGTGGTTGGATAGCTTTGTGCACTTTAGCGTGAACGTAACTTAAACAGCAACAAGCAAACAAAAGACAGTATTGCAGAAAATTCAAAGATGCAGGAGGAGAGCTTTTACATTTGCATGCAGTCACTGTCTAAGCAGGGTTGCTGCATTTGTAATAAAACCGCTCCTTCCCCTGTTGGTATTGACTGAGAGCGATCCAGACAGCAAAGTTCATGAGGCCTTCCTGCACATTGCTGCAGCTCTATTTGATTCCTTTAACCATTTTGCCTTGAGCGTACTTGCACAGTAGGGAGAGATAACCTCGGTGCTGCCTAATTACACAAGATGTATGCATGCACAAAAGACCTTCTTTGAGAGGAAACGGCATTTGCAGGACTGCTGTGGTGGGTTCATATTAGAGATTAACTCTTGAAATGTATACAGCAGTATGGAAATAAGACACAGGGTGCCTGTCAGTATAATAAATCACTTAGATGATCTGAACAGCAGGAGTACGCTTCTTTTCGTCTCAGATAGCCAGCTGATATTAAACAATGCTGAGATTGTAATGCTTTGATATCTATCTCCTTCACTTTGTCTATCATTTGCATAGACCCAGAGGAATTGTGGAGAATACAGCAACAGCTGCCGGTACTTTCTTTCATTTAATTACCTTAATAGCACTTAGGAAGGTTTAGGAAGAGCCACTGAAGAGGGAGGTGGTAACAGGAACCATATGGGAAACGCCATGTAACCTGAACTCTGGCTATAGGTCTGTCTGTCTGGCTTCATACAATCCCTGTGGCTGCTTCTCCGCCTGCACAGGTCCTGCTACTCAACTCCTGGAGTGCCAAATAGACATTGGTAGTATGAAATGAAGTCCATGTAATAGAGTACTTTACTTAAGCAGCGGTGCAAAGTAACTAAGTAAATGTACTGAGTATTTTGATTTTGTGCTACTTCATACTTCTCCTCCACTTTGGAGGGAAAGATTGTACTTCTTACTCACTACATGTATTTGACGATATTAGTTACAGGTTACTTTGCAGGTTAATATCAGTTATACAATCATACATCTAGATTCTGATATACTATTATGAATTTGGATACCCAACAGCACATAGAGCAATTCAAGTAAGCTCCTTCTTTACTAACTGCAAAATTAAAATGATGAATGGATCACTAATTATAAGCCATTGAAGGAGAAATACAAAATACATTTGTACTTTTACTTAATTAAGATTTATAATGCACTACTTCTACTTGCAACAGAGTATTTCTACACTGTGGTATTCTTTCACCACTGTACTTGAGAGCAATTTTGAGGTCTGTTTACTTCTGCAACACAGTGACTTCACTATGTAAAACTCTCGCTTTTATTGGCTAGTGCTCCAACACACTGTACGTGATAGGCTAAGGGGCGGGACATCTTTAAGCGGTTGATCATTCACAACAGAGCCGGCCAGCTGACTGGGCTCTGGTTTCTGTCTGGTTTCAGACAGATCCTCTCAGGTAGCTGCTGGGATTTTTTCCCAGACTCCCCTGCTGCTTCCACATCTCAGTACCAACTACCCGATGAACCGAGGATTCAAAATGTCGGCCCTCCTTCTCTTACTCTTCCCTCTCCCTTTCTCCCCCCGTCTACAGATGTTGTCCTTTAAGCACGGTCTTACTTCCTGACCACCAGCGCCAAACTGAATGAGCTATTGTTTATGTCATGACATCATCGTTTTCAGCTTTCCTCTGCCCAGCAGGGTCTCACAGTGAATGTGTGTGTGTGTGTTAAAGTGAGTGATTATTGCTGTATGCTAGCCAGTCATTTAAGCACTTAAATCTAGAGTGGATACATCTGCTAGTCAGTCTTAAAGGGATCTTTTAGGGTTTAAAGACACTCAGTATCCAATTCATCGTGAACTAGAAGTGGGTTTTCAACAGTAGTTTTTCAGTTGTTAAAATCAAACAAGCATTAGCAATTCAATGCAAGTCAATGGAGGTAAAAGCCATTGAACAGTTGAAGCTCAGTCAAAGTTTGTTTGGTTTAAATATTCCCAAAGGGGGCACGCATGATTTTGAAAAGATTGCTCTTCAGTCCAATTTGTATTGAAGTACCTTAAAGTAGCTTGGCTATAAATGCTAATAATAAAGCCGCAGCACAGCACCAGTGGAGGTTTATTTTCTGGATGGGCTCATAAGAGGACAGCTCACAGTGAATAGACAGACAGGTTATTATAAAATGCACTTCTTAAAAGCATTTTATCATACTGTCTGTCAAATGGATGTGTGTTAAAGCAAAAACAATTATCTATAAGGGTGCTTCATACGTTTCCACATCCATTTCTAAATGTATTTGATTTCTGCTTCTTCCTCCTTCACTGTGTCACTCCATCTCTCTGTGCTCCATCTCACCTGCTGCCTCTGTATTCATTTCCCCACTTTATCTGTCTTATCTCACTTCATCTCATCTCCCGTACCCCCCCACTGTCCTCTTCCTTTCTTCTTTGCATCACCTCCTCTTCCATTTCCTCTACAGTGCTCTCCTGCTGCTGCATCTTATCTCTCATTGCTCTCTTCTCCTCTCTTCTCCTCTCTTTCCCTGTGTCCATTCTCTTTGGTTGACCTAATTGGCTCAGTTACATTTTTGGCACTTTAGGCGTCATGGACAACTAGTCTTTTTCACTGCAGGACGGAACAGCTGCAAAGTGATGGATACAAAATGGCCAGTTAATCAGTCAGTCTGTTTGGCAGACATGTAGTTGTTTTATGGGTCATTCAGTCCATGTTTCCCCGTCATCCAGATACTCTAAACTACTCTGAACATTTTGCTACAGAGAATATAGAAATAAGAAAAAAACTCAGTGTACATCTAATCTAATGTCTGCATGCTACCAATGCTCACAATGCCAATGCTAACATGCTGATATTAAGCAACTATAAGTTTGTTTGTTTTTTGGAAAATAACACTTACAAAA